TATATATATGAACCATATGTCAGTGCAGCCAAAACATTGCTTTTATTTGCTACTTTTAATTTCGTCTTCAATGAAGTGGTCTTTGAATTCCAGATGGCTTTTAATTTGACAAATGCAATCCATGCATTTTTAAGTCTATGGTAGACATTGTCAATGCAGGCCAGAGTTTTGGAGATAATGCTGCCAAGTTCAAATACCAGGTTATAATTTTATATGTGTTCTAAACCTTTGCTGGTCTGTAAATGCTTCTTTTGTGAGGAAGTCATCTTATACACATGTACATGAATTATATTGAAGCTTATGTGCAAAGACAAACTCAAGAGAATATCAAGAGACATACATGTAGATCCTTGTAAAATTGCCACTATGCCAGTCCATCAAAATTTATATTTAAAAAGGGAACCCATTAAAAAATCAGTCGCAACGAACCTTATTATATACTCTATGCCTATTCCAAGAGACCACCGACCGCACTTGCACCGTGGATCTTATAAAAATGATTGGCCTAACCAAGGCCGTTACGTACGTAGGGCCTATCTTATGCGCCGTCTTTCACACCAGCACGTGCGTTGCTGACACACGCGTAAGACAAGCCGTGATTTAGTGTATGCCAGGGTCAAAAGAGGTCGGTCGGGTAGCTATAACTGTAAGTGGGTGTGTCTGAGAGGATTTTTTTGGGGGAGAAAAGGGGGGAGGGGGCGTAGGCACAGCGTGAAAAGTCAGCAGAGATACAGATGTGTCACTATCATATCCACCCCCAAGTCCATACATTACGTGTATTATTGTATCTACGTAATGGATTGCATGCTGGTCTGTGGAAATAGACGTTGCCGTATGCTACGTCCTACATTATGACACGACTTACTTGTTGCTCACAAAAAAATCCATTTTAACGAACCTTCGGATTCAACGAAATCGAAGCTCAGGCTCGACGACTTTACTTTGTTATATACATGTATATATCCGAGTTTGACTGTATTGAATTTGAAGTTGTTATGTCATGTGACATTTTGAGTGATTTTGTTGCATTTGATGTTTATTATGCACAACATATATGTTTACATTTGAACATTTTGTATTTGCATTTGAGGTTACAACAGGCACTCGGAGTTGCAATGTGGCGTCTGAAGTTACATTGTGGCAATTGAATGTGCAATGTGACCTTTGAAAACACTAAGCGTGTACGTCTCCACACACACACATATATACACACACTAACCCGTCTGCAGTTTCATTTCTTGGAATATTACTGTGACCTTTTATTCACTGCAGGGTGCTGATTTTAGAAATTAGACTTAAGACTGAGAGAAGGTGTTGAATTTGGGCAGATTGCGGAATATGTTTTCCTTGTGGCAAGTGAATCTGCAGTGAAAATACTCCTGATCTTTTCAGTGGTTTTACTAAGAACCGTCCTAGTTGAGCTTTTTGTCTTGTTGTGAAAACATAGTCACAGGCCCCTCAGAAATGGTTGGCTTAAACGTGTTTAGAGCTTAAACTTGGTTAGCTATATGGGCCTTAACCACAGAATTCTACACTTAGAGAGTAGAATTCTGTGGCCTTAACCTATAGACCCTAACGGGATTTTGTATGCACATCGCGCTACCGCTAAACGGAAATGTATAGCTATGCGCAAAGTGCAAGGTGAGATGTTTATAAGATTACTTGGTGGGTGGTTGGCGGGTGCTCTAGTGTGGTTTGCTCCTCCTTTCCTGTCAGACATCTATCGTCCTTATCTCTCTTCCTTCTTTTTGTGTTTGTTCCTCTCTTGTAACACCTCTAATCTTCGACACTTATATGACCTTATTGTGTTGCAAGTGTCGTAAAACTATAACTAAAACTAAAAGATTACTTGGCAAACCCGCCCCGCTGCCACTGTGTGCTTTCGGACATTCGGTTTCCAACTTCCAACTACACGTAGGAGTTTCTGAACTGTGCATCGTGGCGGAGAATTTTTGGTCGGTACCCGGATTCGAACCTGGGACGTTTGAATGAGAGATGAACACCTTAACCTCAAGGCCACGAGAGCCCCCAACGCGAGTTCGATTGTAAAGGCCGTGCGTCCACCAAACCAGAAACCGACCAACCGTTTGTCGTCAGTCTCTCGGGAAGTCGGTATTTGAAATGGGACACTGGTTTTTACCTTAGCAGTCAGTTAAAGTTCCTTTTGGTTGTGTCTTCCAAAACAACTAAACGCCTCCCAAAAAAGACGGGTCGGTTGGAATGCCCCATAAGTCCAAACGCAAACCACATGACATGAATGCTTATTATTAACAATTTTACGTACGCAATGTTTTTCAAGAACTATTCATGTATCCTTATTATTCCCGTCTTGCGCCCATTGACCTCTTAACTATTCAGAGCCCGATAACGAGAAATGACAAAGTGACGTTTGACTTCAAACAGAATGAATAGTCTAAACTGAAATGGCATGAGTTTAACGCGCCTCTATCAACACTATTTGGTTATTTAAGGGGCGGGACCTCCTAGTTTAACGCCCGTCTCCGATAGGACCTAGTCAAGTGGGAAGTTCTTGTAAAGTGCCTTTCCCAAGGACACAACGTCGGACTGAGCTGAGGCTCGAATCCCCGAACCCACAATCTCACGGTTACGAGTCCGGTAGCCGAACTACTGGGCAAGCGACGCCTGAATAGTCTTCTCCTGACAACAAAAAAA